AAGACTGAGAGGGGATCTGGTGGCCATTTATAAACTCACCAGGGGGACCAATGGAAAATAGGTGAGGCTCTGTTCTCCCAGGCACCACCTGGGATAACAAGGAATAACAGCTACAAGTTGATTGAGAGCAGGTTCAGACTTGATATCAGGAGGCATTACTTTACAACTAGGTCTGCCAGGCTCTGGAATGGTGCTCTCCCCTACCTTGGGTTCTTCAAGAGGAGGTTGGATAGATATCTGGCTGGGGTATTATGATCCCAGCACTTATTCCTGCCCAGGGCAGGGGGTCGGACTTGATCTGTTCAGGTTCCTTCTGACCCTAGAAACTATGAAACGATGGATTGTTTGACTCCCTAACCCTGCTCTGGCAGATCTCCTGGATACCTGACCCAGCTGGCCTCCTGACCTCATGGTCTGCCCAGCTCTCTAACTCTCTGACTCAGTTCCTCAGATGGATCTCCTGGCTTCTGGCTTCCTGGCTCCCATACACTCAGACTCTGCACACTCCCCTTGGATCTCTGTTGCTTCTTCAGACTCTGGGTTACCCTCAGACCTGGCCATCAGAGCTGATTTTCAGTTGCTTGTCTATTATGATCTCTGAATACATGAAGAAAATTACCAGTCTGTGATAGAGTCCTACATGCTATGAGAACTGCCTGCATTCCTAGACACATCATTTTGCCTTTGTCTAAAAATATTCTAAACTGAATTCTGTCTTCACTTAATCAGGTTTAAATCTACTTTACATAAATAAGTGTTAATGGCAGTCTTCAAGGCAGTGGGGAATGGGTGCCAAATTGGTGCCACAAGGGGATGTAACTATGAGAAATGGGATAAAATTAAGCAAGAGAAAATGTAGGCAAGATAACATGAAATACATCTTAACTGTGAGATCTATTAGTGTGTAGAATAATCTTCTATGGGAATTGATGGAAGCCCAGTTACTTCAGATATTTAAAACTAAACTGGATAAGCACTCACAGTATACTGTAAGGAATTATCCTACATTGCCAGAGGGTTGGATTAAGTGACCTAATAGGTCATTTCCATCTCTTCTTTCTATGATTTTATTATATAAAGCCTCACAAACAGGAATTCTTTGGCAAAGTTAAGAGATACCACAGAAAGCTATCTGTGTTAGAGGAGCATTAGCAAATAACATCCCCAACTGGCAACGACAAAGGAATCTTAATTCAGAATTTGTGTTGGTTAGAAAGTATAGCCAGTCCTTTAGGTAGTCTGTGCGGCTGATTTCTGAAGGAAAAAAAGCAACCATTAATGGAAAATGCCAGGAAACAGCAGGTGAGTCATGAATGTGACCCAGGGGAGGAGGAATAGATCAAGGGGAAAAAAAGTTAGGATGGGGCTAAAATGCTTAATAATGCCAGAAACAAACTATTAGCCAGAAATAAATCAGCTTGCAACACATGAGATGAAACCCAGGCCATGTTTATTTCCCTACTCTGCCAAGTCCGGGACCACTGCCAAGGAACAAACCCTACCTACTTGGTCACAATCCCTTTACAACTGAGTTTGGCAATTAGGCAGAGCAGGTGACTCAAAGCAGGAGTGGCCAACCTGCTGCACAAGTGCCAGAAGCAGCATGGGCAACCTGTGTGTGTGACACGCAGCAGACTGGGAAGGGGGCAGGCAGCACAGTAGCAGAAAAGACAGGAAGAAGAAAGCAGAGCAGCAGATTGAACAGGTAGCTAGGGCAGGGAGCAGAAAGCTGAGCAGCAGATCAGATAATGGAAGGGGATTGAAATGGCACTTGGGAAGGGCATTGGGGTTAATTTGTGGCATGCCTGCCAAAAAAGTTGGCTCCTACTGGTTAGAAAAGGCACTTCCCAGGGAAGTGTAGGCCTACCCCCAAATATGCAAAATGAGATTTCTGGGGTTTGGTCTGCAACAGTGGAGCTCAAGCTTCTAGTTCTGTGAGCCTGGTAAGTGGCATGTGGCCTGTGAGTGGGCTAGATTGAGCCTTATGTGCCAGGATCAGGCCCTGCACTGTCTCCATCTGGCACCATGTGCCCAGATAGGGCCCCATGCAGCGTCTGCTGATACCTGTGTGCCAAGATCAGGCTGTACACTGGCCCTGTGCACCTGTTTTGGGCTCTGGAGACCCACACACCAGAATTAGTGCTGGCTGACTGTTTCACACCTCTCTGGCCCCATGAGACTGGATCAGGCCCTGCTCCACCCCCATGCACTGGGATGGGGGCCCTGGGGCCTGGCACTGCCTCCTCCTGGCCCCATGCCACTTTGTGTATCCAATCTAGTGCCACCATTCTACCACTGCCAAATTTTGTGACCTGTGGGGAGCCCCACAAGCCAGATGACCTGGTGCCCAAATTTGGCCCGTGGTCTGTGATTGTTTGGGGCACTGGCAGATGTGCACGCCCGTGCTTTAACACATGGTGCTTTATGTAAAGTGCCATGAGTTAGAGCACTCCCCTGACTCAACAGATGTTCACCTTTTCTTTCAGGTGCCATGGAGCCTGCCTGCAGGAGCCTGGGAAGCCTGTCTGCAGCTGAGGAGCCACCTCTCTCCCCTAGCTTGCCCCACCCCTCCCAGCTCAGGGGCTGTCAGCAAGAGGGGATGGGGGGAGAGAGGAGGGCAAGTGACCTCCCGGCTGGGGTTTGCCTGGTCTGAGCTGGAGGGGAGGGGCCTGGGAGGGTTGAGGCAGGGGGGCTCTGATCTACCTGCCTGCAGCTCACTCCGTCTCCCCGCTCCCTTCCTACTGACAGATCTGGTGGCAGCCCAGCCCCGATCACACAACAAATTAACTCTCGGGACCACAAGTTCCCTAAGGTGCTCTAAAGTGGAGCATCTTCATTTGATACCTCATTTGATGAGGGTTAATTTGTCACTCGATTGTTTACTTTAAAAGTGCTCTGCAGCCATGCACATGTGTTGTGGCATGGCTGTAGAGCACTTTCAGGGGCCTGAACATGCAAAAAATGTAATTTCTGCCTGCACCCTTGTTGCTTACACACACACACAGAGAGAGAGAGTGAGAGCGTGAGAGAGAGAGAGAGAGAGAGAGAGAGAGAGAGAGAGAGAGAGAGAGAGAGAGAGAGAGAGAGAGAGAGAGAGAGAGAGAGAGAGAGAGAGAGAGAGAGAGAGAGAGAGAGAGAGAGAGAGAGAGAGAGAGAGAGAGAGAGAGAGAGAGAGAGAGAGAGAGAGAGAGAGAGAGAGAGAGAGAATGAGAGAATCTTATCCCTTTCTGTAATAAGTATCCAGGAACAGGACAAGACATGAGGGAGTGTGACCAGGGTAGCAAACAGAGTAGAGATACTGAGATAGTACTAGGGTAAAATAAGAAGCAAATTCAGGTACATACTACTACAACATGCATAATGTGATGTTCTCAAATCAAAAACAGTTTTTAACTTTAAAATTACAATGCTAAAATCCCTGTTAAATTCATAATTTCACAGACCTTCTTAACTTTTGACCCTTCACATGCACTTCTTTGGATAAGGAATTCCTAGAAAACTGCCTATTATTTCTGTTTATTTATTTATGTATTTATATCCTTTCACTTCCATCTCCCCTAAGCATAAAACATTAGCTTCCTTTACAGACTCTAAAAACAAGCAAGTGTCCAATTAATGCTCCTTATTTAAAACACAGCATGCTTGCCAGACATTATAGCCATCACTTTCACTAATAGATTGTGCTGCTCTAGAAATAGCCCCTGATACCCACAATGATACAGCAACATATGCATACCCTTTTCTCCTCACCATTGCTCTTAGAACCCCTTAACTCTGAGCTTATCTCCACTAAGCAGTCATGAATCAGTGAATAATATGCCATTATTTTCCCCGAGTAGCATGGGGTTAGATGTTAATCAGACCTCTTCTTTCAAGCATGTGCAAGTTTTTCTCTGTTTATTTTTTCTGAATGGGTTTGGAGTCATATCATTTCAGTCTTTTAAGTGCTGTGCCTTTTGTCTACTTGCCTACATCAGTGGAGTAGGCCAAGACTGTTTCTTTCAGGTACAGCATTATACCATTCAGTCTATTCACTGTTACCTTCCTGGCACTGCTGAAACTACTATCAGAGCATGGTAGACTGAGGGATGAATAGAAATAAATAATACTCACACAGCTCTAATTCATTGCTTTCAAACAAAAATCCTTAAAACAGTAAATTTTAACAGAAAAGCCTGGACAGACAAAAGAAAGGACTTGAGATTAGTGGCCACCAGGTGTCACCACTATTTCTCTTATCACCAGGAAAGAACTATTTATATGAGAAATGCACCAGGTAAATGTGAGCAGGGAAACCACATAAATTAAGTGAGGAGGTAGCTTTTTTATACAGAACTGGAATTTAGTAAATGGTAATAGGGATCCTTTTTTCTCTCTCCCTATAAGCGTAACAAAAGTTGAGAGAATGAATGGGTCTCCAAAAACTGGAGACTGAAACGGCCTTTGTGCCTCAGTTTCCATGAATCTGTGCCCTTTACAATTGGCAAAGACTGACTGGCTTTTAAGGAGTACAGAGAGGATGGCCATGTCTGTCATCATCCCACAAACAACCCCCCACAAAAAACAGCTAAGAGGCCTTGTTCATTCTTCCCTCAGCACCTCAGCTCTGCTCCCTGCCACACAATTATAAAATCCTTGCTCCATACAGAGAGAAGAGAGCCATTTGTCCTTGTGACTACTAGACCCATCAAATCCAGCTTTGCAGGTGTCTCCCTGAATCCACATAGGTAGGTAATCTGGTACCTTAATCATTTTAACCTTTACAATTGAAGGAAAATTCTAACTAACTCCTTTACTGCCCCTGCCCCCCCCCAAGTAAATTCACTGCAATACTGCAAAAGCAGTGTAAAAATACATCTGAATTCTGACCTCAGTGACCCTGCACAGATTATTCCTGCCAAGCACAGGAATAATCCTCATGATATGACTGCAGAGGAGCCATTGCCTTGTTAGGAGGCATGTGCAACATGCAAATCAAACTTACTGGTCTTGTTATTAGGGTGACCACCCATCCCTAATTGGGTGAGACAGTCTCAGAATGGGAACATCAAGTCCTGGTCCTGGGCTGCATGACTCCGAGACATCGTTTGTCCCAGATTTGCAGTGTCATGCAGGGATCTGTGGTAAATGACAGATTTCCCCTTATAAACTAGCAGCTTTTCAGCCTGCAAGGGGCTATTTCGGCCTGCCAAAAGTGGCACACAGGGAGCACCGTGTGTATGTGCACACTTTCACACAAGCAAGTGGCCGGGAATACAGCCAGTCAGTATGGAGAGGAGCTCCCTGCAGGTAAGTCTGTGTAGTGCAGCTTGAGGCCCCTTTGGTGAACAGGGGAGTGGAGAAGTGGGGTGTGTGCATGGGGCTAGGGCATAGAGCGTGACAGAGCCACGGGTTGCTTGTGCAGGGGGGCACAGGGCATGGGGGAGGGATGGCTCCCAGCTGCACACACCCCAAGCCCCCACAAATTTGTGTGCGGGATAGGGATGGATATGGGCTGCCCACTATGAGCTGGGGCTCCCCACCCTGCTGCCCTCCTCTGGGATCCCTATGCCAGCTGCACACTCCCTGCTCACCCAGCAGCAGTGGGGGTCATGGCAGCATGGAGTTGTGTCTCCCGTTGCTGCCAGACAGGCAGGGAATACATAGCAGGTACAAGGCTCCCAGGGGAAGGGCAGCAGGGTGGGGAGCCCCAAGCCAGCAGTGGGCAGCTTGCATCTGCCCCCGCTCTGCTTGGCTCTGCTCTGACAGTGCCGCCGGTAGAGGTGGAGGTGGAGGCAGAGGGGGGGGACAAAGGGATGAGGTAGACACTTGTCCCCGCTTTACGTTTTAAAAAGGTGGTCATCCTACTTGTTATTGAATATATCAATTCATTTTTCTGGGGGAACCTGTGCATGATACACATGCAAAGAATTTGTCTTGGATCCTTGGAGGAGCAGTAGACTGGACCTTACCATGTCCTAAACACGTACTGATTGGGTCAGGGCCTGCATTTTTAAGCAGGACTTATATTTGTTAAGCAATATTTGAATATTCCGTGTGAGAGGTTCTTTACCATGGAGTCCCTGAAGATGGGAGCGAAATTTATAAAATCTTCAGCTGGGAGACAGTATATCAGGAGAACATATCACTAAGCTTGTACTTAGCGGGCATGAATTTGTACAGGTATGCCACTGACTAGCTGAGTAGCCCCAAACAAGTCATTTAATCTGTCTGTGGCTCAGTTCCTGATGTGGTAAATGGGGATTAAAGTCTCTCTTTGGTAAAGTGCTCTGGAGAAAGTGCTGTATAACAAATAGGCAATATTATTATTAGCTGAAATTATGCAGCAAGCACTAGAAGGAGGTAAGATCTGCGACAAAAGAACACAGGAACGGGTGTGACCATTTAGACTAGGGTCAGAAGTTACATATAAACTGGTTTAAATCATCAGAAACTGGCTTAAACCTGTAACAGAACAGAAGTTCAGTGCACATAAATCAGTTTCAAAGTGGCTGAAGCTGGTTTGAGATAAACCTTGTTGAATGTAGTATCAGACGTAACCAATTGAGGTCAAACCAGTTTATGGAACTTTTTTCCCAGACCCTTTCCTGGTGTCAGTTAAATCAGAGTTCTCCAGCATCTCAGTATGCTCTGCAGCCCTGGGTTTGGCTGGGCAGGGCTGTCTGTTCCAGCCAAGCAGGGTTGGCTTCACCCCTCTCCTCCCTAGAGCACTATCACTGCTCCAGCTGGCTGAGAAAGGGGTGGGAGTATGTGCAATAAAGTGCTGCCAGGTCTGCCTGGCAGGGGGGTAGCAGCCCTTGCTAAGCATCACCAGCCCCCCTCCCCCCCCCCACTGCTTCAGCAGCAGGAGCAGGGGTGTGGCCAGACCCCAGTAGCCTGAGGGGAAGTGGGGTTTAATCCGCCCATTGCAGGGGGAGCAGCATGGGCACCAATAGAGCAATAGGCTCCACTCATGCACCCAGGCCACCCATGGCAGCCAAATGCCAGTAGTGTGAGGGGAAGAGTGGGATATAATCCCCCTCATTGCACACAGCAGCAATGGGGGCACCAACCTGGCATTGGCTTTATCCCACGCTGAAGATCCCCTTAGGCAGGGCCTGCACCACAGCACCTGGGCCAAGTCCTTCAGAGGAGTGGCCAGTCGGCTGCAGGGGAGGGGATGTGACCTGGCTGCATGGGGGGAGAAGTGGGGACTAGTTTTGGAGCTCAATTCACCACTGTCTCCCACTGTGGCAGTGCAGCCTGAGCTGTGGTGGCCCTGGGGGGCAGGGGTCAGCACCCGCCACCTCCCACCCCCAGCCCTGCTTGCGGTGGCACTGGGTGCTTGGGGCAAGCTTCTGTGGGCCAGGGGCATGGGCAGTGGTTGGGGGAGGCAATGGACTGCCACAGCCTGGTCTGACCCAGCCCTGCAGCCCAGGGGCATAGGCAGTGACTGGCCTGCAGCAGCCTATCCCTCCCAGCAGCTGCTCATGGCACTTAGAGCAGGCTGCTATGGGCTAGTCAGTGCCTATGTTCCTGGGCCACAGGGCCAGTCCAGACCAGGCTGCATTCCTGGGCCAGAGGGCTGGGCTGGACCAGGATGCAGCAGTCCATTGCCTCCCCCTGCCACTGCCCACACCCCTGGCCCACAGCAGCCTGCCCCGAGCAGCCAGCACTGCTGCAAGCTGGTGGCAAGCGACAGGTAGGGGTTTAAACCCCTCTCCAATCATACTCAGGCCTGCCCAGGCCTGGCCATGCCCCTTCCCTCAGCTTAGTTTCCCTCCAGCTGAGGGCTCACTCTAGCGCCCCCCAGCTTCTGGCCTGAGGCACTGCAGATATGTGCCTGCATTTCCAGAGTCAAATATGAATGACTATTCACTTGCTTGTTGATTCAATCACTGCAGGTTAGACTAACCTGCAAAGACTGAATCAATTTAGGCCTGGGCTTTTTGAATGTCTGTACCTAGCCTTAAACTGCCACTTTCAGCCTTCTATGAGCTCAGTTCTATTTTCTGTGAGAACTAAAATGAACTAAATGTGGGAAGAAGGTTGGCAGTGATCAGACTAAAAAGACTAAGACTGCATATGAAGATCCTAAATATTCAGGGAATGTTCAGGAAGATGCATACCAGTACATTAGAGCAGTGAGTTGGAGAAAGGGACAGGGAAAGGGACTCATTTTAATCCTGCTACGAGATATTATACCACCAGAAACCCTGAAGACAAATTATGCATGTTTGTGATCAGCAATATCTGAATAAAGGATTTTTGTGTCCACTTAAATAATAAATATATGTATTCATATAATTATATATAGATAATATTTTTCATATATATGTCATATTCAGATTTAAGTTATGACAAGTACAGAATACCATTTTACAATATAAGTAGGACAAATTAAGAATTGAAAGGCCTAGAAGAGTTCTTTCTCATCTATTTTTCTCCTGGTTGGTGCTTAGAATTGTATTTCAGCTGTACAATTGAACTACATCCTCCCTTCAATGGTAACATCTATGACATTTCAAGATTCAATATAAGTCATAAGCCAAGATTTTCAAGATTCCAGAGGCTTCACTTTTCACACTTTATTAAATGGCCTGTTTCTCACAAAGTGCTTCTCTTGGAAAAATCAAGCCCCCTTTTCAATCAGATCTTAAGGCTGGACACTCAAAACGGAGGCACTCAAAGTCACTATTTACCTTTGAAAATCTTGGCTTTTTTGTTTTGTTTCCCTATGCAAACTTGGGACTCATTAATGTTTACAGAGATGATTCTATATTTGTCCAGAGTAGCGGTAGATGGTTTTTAAATGGTTTTAAATGGGATTGTGCCAGGCCCTGATTTCTGCCAATTATGTTTGTTTAAGCAAGACCTGGGAGTTTATAACAACAGAATTATCTATTTTTCAGAACAATTAGAACAATGTTTTTGTAGTGACTGAAGGTCAGTGGATTAATGTGCTTTATCTACAATACATTTTTAAAAGCTAATTAAGAATCCTCCAGTTTGTACTGAGGACTGAGAACGTCCTGTGCTAGTCAACCCTGCAGTGAAGAGAGGGAGATACGGGAGGAAAGATTCAGAAAGGGAAAGAATCTGCATGCAACTAAATAAATACACCATAGAAAGGCAGTTAGCACAGGGCCATGCAAAAAAAAACCCCAACAACATTGTGGTAAGTCAAGTGATAAAATTGTACCAATCAAAAAGAAAAAAAAGCTTTAGTTTGCTAATTGGCATTAATCTAAAACATGAATCAGCAAATATCAAGGATTTTCAGTGAGAAGATAAAGGGTTGCTTCTTAGACTAGGAAAAGGTGTGTGGGAGGCAGAAAGCTTCTCTCAGAGCATTATTTTGAGGCTATTCTTATTGTTTACTATTTCTATGGTATCTCTCCCTCTGTCAGTCAGAAATACTAACCACAGTTCATTGCAAGGGACTGAGTAAACAGGCCTTGTAGAAGAGATGAGGTTTATGGTGGAGGGATTTGAATGAAAGGATAAAGCATGGGGATGGGGATATGATTTCATGCAGCAAGTTTCACACACAAGGAAACTATATAAAAGAAGATATACAGACAAGAAGAGGGGAGAGGGACTTGATTATTTGTCAGTTTAAGGGAACTGAAAACATTAATGGGAACCAGAAAGAGACAGCCATAATAATAATAAAAAATAGGCAGTAGAGAGGTTATGTTGGGCTTTAAAGATGAGGGAAAGGAGTCTATATTTAATGCAGCAGCTATGTCTTGGCCCTTTAATTGAAAAAGGTAAGAGAATTAAATAGGAAAACACCCCCACAGTGCTGCTTTTGGATGCTTATCCAAACTGCGAGCCCAAGCCTTCCAAGGTTCATTTATCCAAAGCCTGTAAATAGAATCACACACCGAGACTCCTCGTTTTAAAACTTTGGGCTACGCAGTGTTATCCTGTTGATCAAATGTGGCAATTACTGCAGGCTTAAAACCTTTTAAGGATAACAATAGATGCTGCCAGTCAACGCAAGAAAGAGAACACATATTCAAAGAGCAAGCTGAATGAGAAATAACAGCAACATGTGTAACTAGAATATATTATGGATTACCATCATCTAACACAAAGGCTAGTAAACTATTCAAAAATGCAGCAACCTACAGAGCTAATAAAAGGAACAGAAATGAGGAGATGTCTTGGTTTGTCTAATTTGTGTCTTTCCAGCCTCAGTAGAATGACTCACTGGGTTTAGTAACAGCTTGTGAAGATGAACATATTAATAACTTTACAGTGTAGCCTAGCCATAAAATGCAACATTTTAAAATTTTGTTTTTTCACACACAGAATACCATCTTAAATCTTGAATAAAATGGTAAGGTACATTCTGCATTGTCATCTTAAATGTTGTATTTTATTTGCAAATCTATATTTATAGATTTAAAAATGCAATTTAAGTTTGGAAATTAAGTTCCCCCCCCAAATATCTGAACAATGATACTGTGAAATATTAAAAATGTATGACCATAAAAGTAATATCCCAAGATGTTCTGTATTGTTCCCTTCTAAGTGAATATTTTTCCCCATAAACATGTTGAGAGAAAACTGTATATCAGGCATACATGACTCAGGGCAGCATAGAAGTGACTTTCATATTCAGTAGCTAGTCTAAACATCAGTAAATTCTATGGAATATTAATAGTCTCAACTTCTCATACATTTTAACATCAGATTTGAACAAAGAAAGATAACAGGATTGGTAACATGCACTCTGATACTTCTTTATGTTGTTAGGCATTTATTCTTTTCTATTCTGTTCTAGCACTGTGCCTTCAGAATGGCATCTATGTGCCTATTAACACTTATGCATCCATCACTTCTGAGGCTGTAGGGGGAGAGAGGGAAACAGCTCTTCTTATCTCAAGACGGACATCAGTAAACACATTTTTAAAAATATATTTCTGAGGCAGCTACTGAATGTTTTGCCTGAATATAATGAGCCCTATTTGTATACATGCCTAGTAGAGATGTGATTGTAGATTCTACTGTAATTTTCTGAGAAGAAATGGCATTACAATTAGTAAAAAAAAAAAGGCCCTATCTTTGTGGCTTTAATCTTTTGCCTTTTGGAGTGCAGGAGCCTAATCAGTACAAATTCCCTTCCTGTTGTAAGGGCATGAGATACCTCTACAAGCTGCAGAGCATAGACAGTCTTCAGGCATACACCAAAACAACACTGCAAGAATTGTTTACAAGACTGACAAACCCTAACATCCAAGAATTAAGAATCAGGACCTGAAAAATTATAACATTCACTTAAAATTTACAAGCCTTTTAAAAGGAATAAATTATGGGCCCTTTCATTTGACTTCTGATGCTTGAGTCTTCTCCCCAATCCTAAGGCTGTAACAAGAAAATATATGCAGTCGTACATGGGGGTTGGGAGCTGGAGAGCAGGAATCTCAGTTCTGGCAAGGAAGTATGGGGACCCAGTCTCTTGGTTTTGGCAAGAGGGGAAGGAGAATGGAAGTAGAAGCTGAGAGCAGTGAGGAGAGTACAAGCTGAACAAACAGCAGACTGCTTACTGACACACTGCCCCAAACTTTCTTTCCACCACCATCCCTTTGGAGTGTGGGAGGATTGCACTGTGAGATGCTGGAGAACCCAGGGGACCTCTGTCATGCTCCATGAAGCATCCATATATATAACAGGGTTACTTTGGGGGCATGTTTGCCATTCTTGGAGTGCTTCAGATGGCATGTACACCTCTCTAGCTCTCATTTTGAAACACTTCAAAAGCATTTGATGTGCTTACATTGTCTGTCCACACCCCTAGAGACTCATCTTATGCCCATTACATTTAGCAAGCATTTCATAACTGTTAATGAATGTCTCCTCATAAGTTCCCTCTAAGTTTGGCAAATGCTATTTTTCCTCTTTTGCAGATGGAGAATTGAGGCACAGCAATGGGGAACTGAGTAATTTGCACCAGATTTTACAAATATCTATGACAGAACAGAAAATTGAACTTGGGTCTCTCATATCCCAGGTTAATGCCTAACCACTGAACCATACTTCCTCTTTAATTGATTTCAGTGATCTTGAGATCAACCTGGCAAAGAACTGTGAGTGCAGTTGTCTACACTTGTGATTTGTCTACATTTGAAAGTTAATTGTGTTGAATACATGTTAATTAACTAAATGATATGTCAATTAAAATGATTATACATTTTAGTGTAGTCAGGACACAACTGTTGGTTCTGACTCATCATTTAAAAAAGCAACTGTCTTTCTCTACAATAGGTAATGTTCAGTACCAGGTTACTTAAAACATATTTGCTGGTATAATTTCTAACACAACAGTTATGGCTAGGTACACATATCATACATAATGCACATTGAGTGCACTGCAAGTGCTTTAAAGACACAACAAAACAGACATTCACAGCACTTAAAGTGCTTTAAAAATGTCAGATCCTACTCTACGTTAACCTTCAATGGATGTGACATTAGACTAAAGCATCTTAGGTTAGAGCAGTTTTTTGAATGTCTGTACCACGTCTATTGCACTTCAGTATAGGTCGCATTCTGCTGCCATCCCAGGGGCCCTCGCTGAGCAGCTTGCTAGCCTCAGCCTGTGCTCATCTGCTCTGGGTGAGCACCAGCCCAATCCCAGCCTTAGGTTGTCACAGATAGGAGACAAAAAAAGCTCTGTTTCCTCCCTGTGTGGCTGAGTGGGGAGAGGCATAGCGGGGATGGAAACAGAGCCAGTCTGCTGCATGGATCCCTGCCAAGCTTCCAGGCTTGGGTATTGGTGGGGGCTGTGCTGAGTCCATGCATCAGACAGGCTCCATTCCACCACCCCCACACTGCCCAGCCTCAGTTCCTGGTACAGTGACAAGCTGGGCCAGGCAGCCCCACACTGCAACTTCTGGCTGCTTTTGTCAGGAGGCTCAGACAGGAGGAAAGGGAGCTCCCCTGCTGTGAGGGCCCCCACCACAGCTTGCTGGCTGGGCTTTAGGTAGGGGACCAGGCCAGGTCCATGCAACAGGGGGGCTCCATTACCACCTCCCACCCCACCCAAACCTCCTGGCAATGGCAGCCAGAAGCTACAGCATGGTGGTGCCTGGATCATCTTTTTCCCATGCCAGGAACTGAGGCAAGGGTGGGGCGGTAGGGGGGAAGGGAGAAAAATAAAATGAAGTGTGGTAATTAGAGTGCCTCTCCTAGGGTCTTTTTGAACAGTACAGTACAGTCTTTTTTCTAGTACAGGTGAAAAATCTGTACTAGGAAATAGAATAGCTAACAATGTATTTTCTCCCACTGAATCAGGTATTACTATTTGTAGCTAAAATTATTTGAACATGAAAAACTGTCCTTGCAGAATTCAAGGCTATACCAATACTGAACACTATATACACTGAGTGAAGTTATTTATGCTACAGCATGACTTTATGTATGACAGGGAAAATTTGCTTCTGTCAAAATCCTGAATCCACAGACCTAGGGAGAAAAAACCCCAAAACAAAGCACTTTGGAGTCTGATATAATAGTAATTTACATATGCACATTTTTAAATATTTAAAAACTGAAAATGCATATATTAAATAATCAGATGTCTATTGTGGAAACAGACAGATCTCCATTTCCTACCTGCTTTTCTTTTTTCAAGAACAGCTGGCTTCTCAGGAGTTCTCTCTTTTTTTTCTTCTTTTTCTAAGATTTAATTAAAGAAAGTCATCTGATATACTAGAACTAAGAAGCGCATACCCAAATATGCAGTTCTCATGGACATACAAAAGAACAATGTGACTTAATTTTGAGTTTAGATAGAATGATTCCTGCGTGGCCCTTGTACCCAACCAGACACAGAGCAATCACATGGGCCAAGGACAGAAATTACACATAAACTGGTTTAAGTAATCAGAAACTGGTTTAAACCTATAACAAAAGAAAGGTTCAATGCAAATAAACCAGTTTCAAAATAGCCAAAACCAGTTTAAGATAAACCTGGCTGAATGTAGTATCAGACTTAACTGATTGAGGTCAAACTGATTTATGGAACTTCTGTCTCAGACCCCTTCCGGGTTTAAGTTAAATCAGAGTCCCCTAGCATCCCAGCATACTCTGCAGCCCTAGCCTGGGCTGTACTCTCTGCTCGAGAAGTGCAAGCCTCTTCCCAGCAGTGGAACTGAAAGGGGTGACTATGGGGGATAAGGCAAATTTTGGGGTGGCCATAGCCTCCCCCCATAACCCTCCAGTGCCACCACCACTTAGACCCCATAGCCACCCCTCCCAGCCCTGCCACTGCCGCTGCTTACCCCAGCTCAATAACGCAACCCTAGCCACAGCCATCTGCTCACATTGCCCAGGGCTGGGGCTGGAGCTGTAGGGCTGAGCTGAGCCAACCCCTAGGTGCTGCTGAGGGCAGTCACAGAAGGGCACCCTTCCCAGCCATCTGGGACTGCATGAACTGTGCGCTCAGATCGCTCCTGGCTACCCACACCCAGGCCAGACCAGGCTGTCAGGGAGCCACTGCAGTGGGCAGGCCTCTCTGCCATGGGTCAGGGGGCTGTCTCTGTGCAGTGCTAATTCATCAGCTCTGTGACAGCCCAGCCTGGCCTGGGCATGGAGAACCAGGAGCAATCTAGGCGCACAGCTCCCATGGCCCCAGTCTTAGCTGCAGCCGACTAGGAAGGGCCCTGCCCCACAGCCCAGCCCAGCTCGGCCCAGCCCCTCTGCACCTGCCCTCAGCAGTGCCTGTGTGCTAGCCTGGCTCAGCCCCACAGCCCTAGGCAAGGCGGGTGGATGGCAGGGCTGGGCTGGACCAGGCTATGGGGGCAGGGCCCTTCCCAGCCAGAGGTGGAGCTCAGACTGGGGCCATGGGAGCTGTATGATCACATTGCTCCTGGCTCCCATTGCCCAGGCTCTGCCAAGCTGTCACAGAGGACTCTCCCCCTCCTCCTCCCCTGCCACAGGGCTGGGGGATGTTCTGTGCAGGGTTGCCTCGGAGCTCAGGGCTGGAAGGCACAGCACTGGGCCCCATTGGGGGTGGGGGGGGCGGGAAATCAGCCACTATGGGGTGAGGAGGAAAAACTGAATCAAATCAGGCTCAGGCTTTTTGAATATCTGTACTTAGCCATGATCATGAAAATTAGTTAGCGTCCACTAGAGAGAGTTTGGACCCTTTCTAATTCATCAAAGGCTAGGCGAGAATCATCAGTGGATGGATGTGGAACCTTTTATTTTAAATTTCTAGTGGCTAAGAAATCATTAATAGATTCATAAATGACATAAATATTTCCTCATGAAAAGGAAACCCTTAGTACATTTCAAATGTTTACTGGGAATTTGTAGACTAACATTTTGTTCTGATGGGTGCCAAGTCTTTGGCACATAGTCATTACAAATCTTAACTGAGATTCGAACAAACTGCATGGTACTGATGCTGCTGAAAGTGTCAGGCAGAGTAAAAAACCATCTCCCCACCCATTTTCATATATGGCAATATATAATCATGTGCTGATACATCAGAGTGAACTATTATAATTGTTTAATGAGCTCATGAACAGCCTCACAATAGAATGAGCAAACCACAATGGCTAGCATTTGTTCTCTGCCTTGTCACACAGGAAGACTTTTAAGAATTTGATACCAAACACTAAAACAGTAGTAAAAATATGGAACTCTTCTCTGAAAGAGGCAAGGAAGAACTGTGAAATAGAATAGCAATATGGTATTATGCACTTAAGATTTCATCTGCCAACACTGTATTCATGATATTTTGGGCCATTGACTTGAAATGAGAGCTGGATCATCTTTAATACATTTTCCAGTTCCATACCTTTCTTTTTTGTTTCAGGAATAACTCTCCTTTCATGTATTACTCTCTTTTCTTCTTCAGTTTCTAAGGAAAAAAAAAAAGAAAATCAGTTAAATCCATATATTTTACTAAAAATGTTTTTTTTTAATAAAGCAGTAAGTGCCAAGACTCAAATAGGGTCCAATCCTTAGACAGCCATATGGCAAAAATACTGCACAGGTGCAAAAATATGTCAACTTAAACATGTTTTATAACTATAGTACCCAGGTTGAACCAATCAACTTATTAAGGAGCTTATTCTCAGCCTCTTAAACAGAAAACTTATATTTCAGAGGCTGCATGTAAAGGTAAGGATAGAAATGGAGCCAGTGTGTGCACCAGATAATTATTTAAGATGTAGGCACTTATTCAATAAATTATACCCATTAACCTGGTATAACTAAGATTTTATTACAGTGATACAGGAGCCCTGCATCTGTTCTGAGTTAGTGCTTCCCCTGTAAAACCTGTCTCCAATGAAAGCAAAACTTGCAAGAGGAATAGGTGCAGAATCCCATGAAAAGCCTGAATAAATAATATACCTCTATAACATTTTTATGAATTGGACCTTTAAAACTGTCATTATAGGACATCTGTTATTCATGCTGAATTGCAGTTAAGCCACTGTCTATTAAAAAGCTTGACTCTAGTCTTTTGAATGCATTTGTTTCTGCTTTGTAGATTCATTGTGCAAAAGTGGAAAATGGTTTTTTCTGTATCTCTGAAATGCTGCAATTTAATAAATTATTGCATGAGTGTTATTAATTAGCAAAACATAACTTAATATGAGAAATTAAGAAATCATTGTTCATGATCTCCTTTCTGTCGTTCATTTGGAAATGAATCTCCAGAAGAATCTAGTAAAATATAGGCAAATGTAAATGCTTGTTGTGCCCCGCCTCAGACATCTGTCTTTGCTCGTTCAGGTCATGCAGTTTAGACTGAGGTATCAGCTGAGTTGGGAGAATTCCAGCTTTCATTTTGTGATGCTTTGGTCTTACGAGTATGTACATGAAGCCAGCCTTTATAATTGTACCGAATAGCACATACAAACTATCATGAGTCATAACGTGAGAGATCTTGCTCTACATGAAAATTGTTGCTGGGTATGGAAATCTTTTCTGAAATTAGTAGCTCCAGGCAACAACTATGCTATTAGCCCTTGCATAAATTAACATCAGGAGAAAAGAAAAATTAAGTTACTTACTTTTCACTTCCTTAGCTATCACAATAGGCTTTTCTTCTACATGAGAAAATATATACAAGAAGAGTGGTCTTTAAAATAGGGAATTAAAAAGTTCATTAAAATACAGTACAGCATGTTTTCAAGAATTAAAAACAAACAAAGATACATATGCACTTGGTAGAAAACTAGACATTTACTTAAAGTTATCAACTCCAGGATTTTCAGACACTGGCTCCATAAGTGAGAGTATATTGTACATAGCAGCAGGACTGATTTGCTGACGTGAAGGAATCTTGCTGAACCAAACTGGTTCCAACGTTTTCTGACAGCTATAATAAATCCATGATTTGATGTTTCCAGCTTTATTGCTTTTTAAATAAATGCATTTAGCTTGTTTCTTTTCTGTATTTATCAAGATGATAGAAAGGAAAACCCCTTCTTATTTCTCTAAAGAATATTTTGCCCATTTGTTTGTTTATCAGGTGTCCTCCATTTAGTCCCCTGTCCATCAAAGCACTAGGCACATTGCTAAGTTTAAGGTGGACCATTGGTTTCAAATCAATTTTTCATGTGCTTAAGAATAAACATATTTCTTTATCAGGCCCTTAGGCCAGGTACAGACATGACACTTTTACCGCTATAAGTGATCAGAAACCAGCCAGTACCCGTAATAGAACAGAAATTTAGCAATATAGACTGGTTTAAAAATGACAAAACCCGGTCTAGGATTCCCCTCTTCCCCTTCCCCCCCACAACCAAAGAACGAATGTGTGTTCACCAATCTAAACTACACCACTTACAGAAAACATTGTAACTTAGATTGATTCAGGTTTTTAAATGTCTGTGTGTAGCCTTAAAGTTCAAATGTTTTGTGCTAAGGGAACTGTAGGCATAATTTCAGGAAAAGTAAGTATCCATAACATCAAAATTACAAGCACAGGAATGTTCATACTTGGTCATATGCCCAGTTGTACCCTGGAGCTGTTTCTTCATTAGTTCCAGCCTCAGCTGCTCTAAATAATGGGTAAGTGGGAATCATCAGCTGAGAAAACTTAGCCTGTGGATTGCTGCTTAGGATCTCAAGATTTAGCTCGCTATCTAAATGAGTGATGCTCACTTTGAAAGTACAGAATGTTTTCAAGAATTAAAATAAACATTCTGGTACCGAATACAGGCAGATCATCAAGAAATAATGTCAAGCATGGCACTATAGCATCTCTCCTTTGTAAGATGACATTGTATTGCTACAAATCAGGTTCATCAACACAAAAAATCAGGCAGAATTGGAAAGTCTCTTATTAATGCTTCATTCACTCTTCCCAAGGGCAATCAGTTCAAAAAGAGAACTAATCAGACCTGCAACATTTAGTGATAACTGTGGATTTGACGTCCAAACACCACTTTGGTGTTAAGGTCCCTAAAAAAAGTTATCTTTGTTCAGTAGCCGGTTCCAACTGCATAGCAGACGACAAGCTTCTTCAGACCTTACCCAAAACACTTCTTGTCTATGAAAGTAAGCCACTTCATTGACTCGCTAATGTTGCCTCTTCCTTTCCCAGCCAGAGCTTAATAACAACAGCCATTAACACAATCTATGTAATAGAGAATTCCAAACACTTATAACCAGCCTACTAACTGAACTCACTGACAATGTTTAGTTGAGCTCTAATATGATTTCTACTGCTGCTTGGACTTTAAATTCTCATTTGAAATATCACTCTAGCCTTGTCATAAGCTGGTGAGTATATTTGTTCTGGCTATGTCTTGGGACTCATTTTTCATAACCTGTTAAGACCTCTCTCTGGCAAAATGGTGAACACAATGCCCCTTATATCTCTCCCATCTGAACGTCTGAGAAGGATGACAAGTTTATAAGACCGTGGGGCAAACCTCATGTGATATCACTGATAATTGTGAGTACTGATTTCCACCGGATAAGTATGCTGATTTGTGTTTATGCTCCTAAAAGAGTTTGCCTTGCACAAAAGCAGAGGTTAAAAGTGCACCTAGATAGGTTCCCAGGAGTTCAGTTCCTAGGACCCTAACACATATTAAGATTTTTCTTTAGGTTTGTTTCTTTTTCTTTCTGCAAATCTCCAGTGCCTCTGATATGAACTCCTAACATTACAGGCATTTTAGTTCTGTTTTCTATTAAACAAATATCTGAAGGTGACAGTGCATGTTGCATTGGTACAGTCCTTTTTATTCTGACTTCCTGTAATTTTTGGGGGAATTTTTTTGTTTTTAAATAAAATCCCATCTAGAATTGACAGATCACACCTGAGCTGATGATAGCTTGAGAATGTCCCATCCCAGTTACACTATGATAATGGCCTTAATCATTTGCCATGGGTTCTTATCAGAAGGCATTACCCTGGCAATCATAGTCCACACATCATCTAAGAGCAGAGCTTGATAAAAAGAAAAAAAAAATCCATGTACAATGACTAGCTCTGGATTTTGTTCATACACACTTCTGTCAGTACACTAAGGAGTATATCTATAGCCACCAAAGCTCTGCCAGATTTGAAAATAAAAGATTAGTATTTGAGGGTGGTGTGTGGGGGAGGGGGGG